TATCTCTTTTTTTCAGTGTCCTGTAGTTTTCCGAGTATAGGTCTTTTACCTCCTTAGTTAAGTTTATTCCTAGGTATCTTATTTTTTTTGGTGCGATGGTAAATGGGATTGCTTTTTTAGTCTCTCTTTCTGAAAGTTCACTATTGGTGTATAAAAATTCCATAGATTTTTTGGCATTAATTTTGTATCCTGCTACACTGCCAAATTCATTTATTAAGTCTAATAATTTTTTGATGGAGTCTTTAGGGTTTTGTATGTACAATATCATGTCATCTGTGAATAAAGACAGTTTTACTTCTTTTCCAAGTTGGATGCCTTTTTTTTCTTCTTCTTGTCTGATCGCAATGGCTAATACTTCCAGTACTATGTCGAACAGGAGTGGTGAGAGTTGGCATCCCTGTCTTGTTCCTGTTCTTAGGGGAAATGATTTTAGTTTTTGCCCATTGAGGTTGATGTTGGCTGTGGGTTTCTCGTATACGGCTTTTATTATGTTGAGGTATGATCCTTCTATTCCTACCTTGCTGAGAGTTTTTATCAAAAATGGGTGTTGGATTTTGTCAAATACTTTTTCTACATCAATTGATATGACTATGTGGTTTTTTTCTTTCAATTTGTTTATGTGATGTATCACATTTATTGATTTGTGGATATTGTACCATCCTTGCATCCCTGGGATAAATCCTACTTGGTCATGGTATATGATCTTTCTGATGTACTGCTGGATCTGATTTGCTAGAATTTTGTTGAGGATTTTGGCATCTATGTTCATGAGAGATATTGGCCTGTAATTCTCTTTCATTGTGTTGTCTTTATCTGGTTTTGGTATTAGGGTGATCCTGTTGCAGCGGTTCTCAACCTGTGGGTCGCGACCCCTGAAAATACATCCTGCAGATCAGATATTTACATGACGATTCATCACAGGAGCAAAATTACAGTGATGAAGTAGCAACAAAAATAATTTTATGGTTGGGGGTCACCACCACATGAGGAACTGTATTAAAGGGCCGCGACATTAGGAATGTTGAGAACCACTGTAGCATCTTTAAAACCAGATAAAACAGTCATGGGTTTAGAATGGCGAGTTGACCTTTCTCCCTAGTGCCAATTTGACTTAATGGGCAAGAGCCTTCTATCCAGCCTAGTCAGCTTATTTATTTTTAGACTTTGACATGAAAGGGAAATAAGCTATCTTTTTTTAGTCACTCTATTTTAAACTTTCTTTAGTAAAACAAGTTTGCCTTTAATTCATATAGCAGGTGCCTTCATCTTATAAACAGCCCTATTGTCATTACCATTTATAGAAAAGAATTGGAAGCACAGAGTTCATAGAGCTCATGTATGAGGACTGGAAGTGAGGTCAGCCTCAAGCATCTTGGCATAATTGTCGGTGGCTATTGCCTCTTGTATTGATCATCAAGCTCACTTTTGACTCTGAGATTCTCTGGGGCGGTGGTCCTAATTTGTGCCCGCTCTGTGCTTATTGGGAATTCAAATGTGCTCGAGCTGAGTGAGGGGTAGGGAGCGCTTGAGGAATTGGAGTCCTGATGAAAGGAGGTGGAGAGGACAGCTTAAAGTCAATTCCCTGGCCTGGGTGCCCAGTGTGACCCCCAGGGCAAGAGACTGGGGGCAAGAGCTAAGTAACTTGATTCTGCAAGTGAGACTGTGAAATGCGAGGGCATTATTCTCGGCTCTGGTCTTTACTTGTAGTCCTGGCTGCTTTCAAAAGAGCAATGGAAATCCACCTCCCAGGAAGCCATTCCTGATCCCGGAGCGAGAACCAAGCCTCTGCAGCTATTACAGTATTCTGTACATCTTCCTGTCTTGGACATTCACTTCATCTATTTTAAATTTATCAAATGCTATTTACTGTTGTAGGCAACCTATTTTTGACCAACACAGAAACAATAAACCAATAAAACATCAAGCAAATTAAGGGCAAAGGCCATGCTCTAATTATATTTTTACTTCCATTCTACCTGTCTTTACTATAGTTCTCAGAACAATCTCTCATGAACAGTGAGCACATATTCAGTATCTATTGGTTCATTAGGCCTACCAAGGCCCAACTGCATGGTGAACAAGTGCAGGAATTCAGGACCCATGCATGGAGCAGCGTCATAACAGGGGTGATAGACAGTTGAGGGGGGATGGACAAAAAGAGTTCTTAGGGTGTTGAGCAAATAGAGACCATTTCAAAGGACTCAGAACTTAAAAGTGAACTAATCAAGATGTTAGTGGTTTAAATGATGTAATTTGCATGGGTGTGTGCGAGCTAGAAAGAAAGTCCAAAATAATCCAAGATTAGGAGATTTGGACAATTTAGGGCAGTGGTTCTCAACCTTCCTAATGCCGCAACCCTTTAATACAGTTCCTCATGTTGTGGTGACCCCCAATTTCATTGTGACAAATTGAACATAATGAAAGCATAGTGATTAATCACAAAGACAATATGTAATTATATATGTGTTTTCTGATGGTCATAGGCAACCCCTGTGAAAGGGTCGTTCGACCCCCAAAGGGTCGCACCCACAGGTTGAGAACTGCTGATTTAGGGAGACATGGAAAAATAGACTGTTAAGAACCTGTTGCCATATGTTTGGTTTCATCGAGGCAACAAAGGCTGTACTTCCCTAAATGAGCAAGAGTGTCTGGAATTTGCCTCTGAGATTTTTCTCTCATTTCCCAGCAGTCACTGTAAACAACCTGAAGCTGGTAGGAGATTGCAGAGGAGAAGATGACTTTAAAAGGAAAGAAGTCTGAACCTTTTGTAGAACTTTTAGGACAATTAACTGCATACTCTCTGGTTAAAGATGTCTGGGTCAGTGTGGCCCCATTGTCCTGTGTCTGAGCTCAGGGAAGGATTTCCAGTAACTCGTGCATCTTGGGTTCTTTTTAAACTATGGGGTGAGTTGTGCACTTTCCTAAAAGCCCAGCTTTCTTCTCAAAAGACAGATCCTGAACAGACTGCAATCCTTCCATCCTTTCCCTCTTACCTGAGAAGATCTGAGCAAGAAGGAGGAGGACAGCGACCGTTAAGAGAAAGATTCTCATGGCACCAGGCATCCATGGAGAGAGGCCGCACCCAACGCTTCTAACAGGAACTTAGAACAAGTGCTGAGGCTCTGAAAGGACGAGCAGTCAACTCGGGTTTGCAATGTTCCTTAAGAATCGACTGTTCTGAATGCCTCATTAAACAAGGTGTGGGCTGACAAGTCAGGCTTTACCTACGTCACGTTTATGGGAGAGGAAGGCCGGGACCCTGTCTTCCTGCCTGGAACGCTCGCCTACGTCTCTGCCGAGGCAGCTCCTGCTTCTCCCTCAAGCCCCATCTCAAGGTCCACCTCCTCCATGAGATCTACACCCACCATTGCTTTTCTTCCTACCCAAGATTTTACATGCACCGTACCCTCTGTGCTTTAAGGGCAAACAGACAGCACTGGTTAAAATAAAGTGAGGCTGAGGCAAGGAGACATTTAACACTGTTACTAGAGATGACCAGTTTGGAAATAGTTTCTTCCCTGGGTCACAGAAAAGGAATTTCAGGGACACACACGTAAGAGGGTTTTAGCAATAGTGGCAGGATTTACTAGAGTACCCTGGACAATCCACTCAGCAGGCAGATCGTGTTTACTGCCCCAGGTGCCCACGCCTGTTGCCTCATCCACCGCCAGGTGGCTTAGCTCCCTCATGCTGAGAAAGAAGTCCAGCTGCCGGGCAGCAGCCCACATGTGGGGCCCAGGAGGGTCAACAGGGCCCAGAGCTGCTCACCCTGGCACAGGGCGACCGTGGTCATTACCTCACTTCCTTGTCCCTCATTCCCTATTTGTACATCCCCCGCCAGGGCCCAGTGGTGCCCGGGCCCCTTGGCATTGCCCTCGGCCCTGCTGCTAAAGAGACCTTTGTGTTTCCTGTTTCCTTGGGCTTAGGAGAGAGCAGGCTTTCTCTCAAACCATCCAATTCCTTTCCTGGCTTTTCCTGGGCTTGCATCCTTATTGTATCCGATCTTTTTTTCCAGGTTTGTTCCTCCCGTTTATGATTGCCATCTTGACTTCCACTGCACATGCAGGCAGTAAAGGAATTTCCCTCTCACTGTTTCTCCTTCCCCCTGTTAATTTGGGAAACTGGCTCATTGTTCCCTGGGGTGATAGGAAAGCCGGTCTTTCCTGCCCACTCAAACTTGAATCCATTTGGCAGAGTGACTCCAGCTGTTCCCTGCAATGTCTGTGAATTTGTAGTTTACTGACTTAGGCTCAGCCCGTTTTTCCCTTCTCTTTTATTAATAACTATCTACCTACTGTAACAAAACCACAATAACAACAACACTTCTATCCTTGGAAAAGAAAAGTCATTCATAGGGGGGCCTAGTAGCCACTGGGCATGGGGAAGATCACTGAGAAGAACTGAACCGAACGTCTGGTCTAAAAAATATGCAAGCCAGGAGAAAATGAAGTGTCATCTTTAGAACTCACCAGAGAAGCCATCTGCTCTGGGTTTTACTGGTACTGTGTGAGATTTTTTCTTATTGCTGGTTCATTCTTTTTACGTGTCAAAGGTCTATCCAGATTTTTTATTTATTTTCCAGCCCATTTTGGCATTTATGTTGAAGGGTCCCAAATTCTGCCGTCCTGATGTTGCCTTTTTGGAATATTGGTTTTAAGCTGTTTCTCACGAAACAGTCTCATAAAGAACCTTTGGCCCTCCCCACCTCCCTGCCCAGGAGGTTCAGACAGAAACACCTGCTTCCAAAAGAGAACCTTAAGACGGGGCTTCGGGCCATTAAGAAGGAATTGACCCAAATGAAACAAAAAGTGGATTATCGACTGGAAAGCCTGGAAAAAATTGAAAAGAACAGAGCAAACAAGCAGGCTTGTCCTTCTCATCCCCAGTAGAGATGAAGAACGAGACAGGAGAGGGGCAGACCACCAGCTTCCTGAAGAAAGATGAGTCTGACGTGAAGATGGAGTCCGAGGGGTGCGGAGGACTCTGCTGAGGAGGGGGACCTACCGGATGATGATGATGATGAAGATGAAGATCGGGGGGATGACCAGCTGGCGTTGATCAAGGATGATGGAAAAGAGGCTGAGGAAGGAGAGGGTGACAGAGGCAGCGCCAATGCGAGGATGACTCTTAAGCACATAGTGGGGTTTAGAAATGTTGTCCCACTATTTCTTTATCTAGGCGCTTGTCTGAGATCAAAATTTTCACCAGATCCTCTCCCTAGTACCTTCAGCACATGCTCACTGTTCTCCCAATCTTGTCCCTCCCGTGTCCATTGATTCCTATTGCCCTGCGCCTAGTCCCGTGTTCACTTCCTTTGATGCTCCTAGTAGTTAAGTCTTAACCCTGTAATTTTTGCTTTTAATTTTGATACCTCTGTATGACTTAACAGTAAAAAGGATGTCTGGTTCTTATCAACTGTCTCCAGAACAATCTCCTGTTACGCAGGGAGCACAGTTCTTTTCATTCATATGTGAGTTCAGTCGTTGCTTCCCTAACTGCAAAGGCAATGGCATTGGTTGAGTAGCACTGAGCGCAGCTTGGAGTTAGAGGTGTGTGTTTTATACCCCATGTAAGAGTGCTCAGCACACAGGGAACAATGTATTTTTGTGAATGGGAGTTGGCTTGTCAAATGCATCCTCTAGGTAAATAATTAGTGTAATAGTTTTTTTGTTTTTTTTTATTTTATTTTATTGATTTTTTACAGAGAGGAAGGGAGAGGGATAGAGAGTTAGAAACATCGATGAGAGAGAAACATCGATCAGCTGCCTCCTGCACACACCCTACTGGGGATGTGCCCACAACCAAGGTACATGCCCTTGACCGGAATGGAACCCGGGACCCTTGAGTCCGCAGGCTGACGCTCTATCCACTGAGCCAAACTGGTTAGGGCTAGTGTAATAGTTTTAAGATTTGTTTTCTAAAGTTGATACTGTGGGTTATTTTTGTGAACAGCCTGATGTTTGGGACCTTTTTTCCCCTCAAAATAAACACGTCCTTATTAAACCAGGGAAAAAAATGTTACCATACAATTGTCTGTAGTATTCCCTGGTAATACGTTGTGAGTGTTTCTAGGATTTAAAAAAATGTTTTATTAATGTATAGTTGGCATATAATAGTATATAAGTTTCAAGTGTATAGCATCGTGATTCAGCATTTATCTGATCCCTTATGATGTGATTACCACATTAAGTCTAGGAATCAGCTGTCACTATAAAAGTTATCACAAGATTACTGACCATATTGATTTATTCTTGCATAGATTCAAGTGCTATGTTTTTCTTCTTTTCCATATATAATATATTTGTAATCTAAATCTATACTTATAAGTACATAGTATATAAATATAGGAAAAATATATTTAGAATATAAAATAACACAAATTATATAATGTATAAATTTTCAACAAAACTACAGACTTTCTTCAGATTTCACTAGTTTTCCCACTCATGTCCTCATTCTGCGCCTGGATCCCACTTTCCATGGTTGTCACATCTTCTGAGTCTCCTCAGGTCTGTGACAGTTTCTCAGAGGTTTTCCTTTAAATATGTTTGTATGTTTTATTTTTTTGAGGTAGAGAGAGGAAGGGAGGAGAGAAGGAGAGACATCAATGTGAGAGAGAAACATCAACTACTTGCCTCCTGTATGCACCCCAACCAGAAATCAAACCCGCGACCTGGGTATGTGCCCTGACCAGGAATCAAACCAACAACCTTCTGGCAATGATGCTCAACCAACTGAGCCACACCAGCCAGAGCAACTTCCTTCATTTTGCATGACTAATAATTTCAAGGCTACTGGTCAGGCATTTGGCCGGCTGCCGACCCCTCCATGGGGTTTGTCTGACGTTTTCCTCAGGTGAGACTGGCATGATGAGTTTTTAAGGTCCCAGTGGTGGCCTTCTCGTCATATCCTGATAATACTTTTATTTTGGTAAGAACGGTAGTCATGTTCTCTCTCCCTCTGTCGTTTCTGATTTTCGTGATTTCGGTATTCTTACTTGCTTTGTTCTTGGTTAGTCTAGTCAGGGGTGGGCAAACTTTCTGACTCGAGGGCCACAGTGGGTTCTTAAACTGGACCGGAGGCCGGAACAAAAGCATGGATGGAGTGTTTGTGTGAACTAATATAAATTCAAAGTAAACATCATTACATAAAAGGGTACGGTCTTTTTTTTTTTTTTTAGTTTTATTCATTTCAAACGGCCGGATCCGGCCCGCGGGCCATAGTTTGCCCACGGCTGGTAGCTACAAGTTTGCCTATCTTGTTGATCATTTCAAAATAACACACGGACTTTTGGTTCTGTTAACTTACTTTATCATTTTCTTAGTCTCTATTTCATTAATTTCTACTCTAATCTTTATTATTTCCTTTCTTCTGCTTGCTTTGGCTTTATTTATTTATTTATTTTTGCTTTGGGTTTAGTTGGCTCTTAATTTGTAGCTTCTAAAGTTTATTGATTTGAGGTTTTTTCCATACAGGCATTTGCGACTATAAAATTTCCCCTAAGCATTGGTTTAGTTGCATCCCATAAGTTTTGGGATTTACTTTTTTGTTTTCATTTATCTTGAACTATTTTCTGTTTCTCTTGTGATTTCTCCTTTGACTCATTATTTATTGCAAGAGGGGTGGTTTAATCATCACACATTTGTGACTTTTCCAAATCCCCTTCTTTTATTCCCTTGTGGTTGGAGAACGAATTTTCAATTCTTTTAAACTTATTTTGGCCTAACATATGGCCCATCCTGGAGAAATTTCATGTAAACTTGATTGAGAAGAATATGTACTTTGCTATTGTGTGGAGTATGCTGTGAGGTCTAATCGGTTTACACTGTTGTTCAAATTTCATTATTCCTTACTGATCTTCTTTCTAGTTGTTTTATCCATTATTGAAAGTGGGAGATTGACGTCTCCTACTATTGTTGAATTATCTATTTTTCCCTCTAATTCTGTCAGTTTTTCACTTCACACATGTTAAGTTTCTGGTATTAGGGGCATATGTATATACTAGAGGCCCAGAGCACAAAACACATGCATGGGGGCCTCCCTTCCCTGGCTGCCATCTGCCAGCGGGGGGCCTTCCTTCATGCCACACTGCCCCCTGGTGGTCAGCACATGTCATAGCAAGCAATCGAACTCTTGAGGGGACACTTTGCATATTAGGCTTTTATATATCCTACTAGAGGCCCGGGGGGGAGAGGGGGTCCCTCAGCCCGGCCTGTGCCCTCTCGCAGTTTGGGACCCCTCAGGGGATGACCACCTGCTGGCTTAGGCCTGCTCCCTGGAGGGATTGGGCCTAAGATGGCAATCAGACATCCCTCTGGCAGCCCGGCAGCCCTCGGGGGATGTCCACTTGCCAGCGGGGAGCAGGCCTAAACTGCAGTGGGACGTCCTTAGTGCTGCTGAGGAGGCAGGAGAGGCTCCTACCACCACCGCTGTACTGGCAGCTGCCAGGAGCCGGTCCATGCTTGCTGTTTCAAGGGACCTGGCATATATGGCATACTGTTCTTAATATGTTTGCTCACCTTCTTGGCACTATGTGTTTTAACCAAGGTCTCTGAGAAAGGTTGTTTCCCCAGGTAGGGATTTTCCCCTGAAGTTAGGGAGGGAATAAAACCCCTCAACTAAGTGCCAGGCGGGTAATTAATCACTTTAACTATGAACAATCATGCTTAAGCTACATAATCTTTACTCCCTGGAATGGAGATAAGAAACGCCCTAACCTTTGAAATAGAGATTGATAGGATTGGAATCAACTGGTATAAATACAGATGTAAGAAGACAGAACCAAGAGAGACAGAACCTAGGCACAGAACCTACACAGAACGTTCTCTAGAGACAGAAGAACTTTGCTGGAGAGAACATGGCAAAAGATCCTGGACTGAACCTGACTACAGAAATTGGCAAGAGAACCTGACTAGAACCTGGTGACTGAACCTGGCTGGAGAACCTGGACAGAACCTGGCTGAAGAACCTAGCGAGGGAACATGGCTACAGAACCTGGCTGGAGATCCTAACCAGAACCTCGCTGGAGATCCTGACCAGAACTTGGCTGGAGATCCTGGCTGGAGATCCTGGCTAGGCTACTGATCAACTGAACACTGTCTCCGTGTCATTCCTTCTTCGCCAACTCCGTCCACACCTTTGGGGACCCCTGGACCCGCTGGGGCTGGACCCCGGCAGGCAGCCATCAGCCTGGCTTGTGGCTGAGCAGAGCTCCCCGCTGTGAGAACACACTGACCACCAGAGGGTAGCTCCTGCATTGAGCGTCTGCCCCCTGGTGGTCAGTGTGTGTCACAGTGACCAGTCATTCCCAGTCTTTCTGCTGTTAGGGGCAGTTTGCATATTATCCTTTTATTATATAGGATAGAGGCCTGGTGCATGGGTGGGAGCCGGCTGGTTTGCCCTGAAGGGTGATCTGGATCAGGGTGGGGGTTCTGCTTGGGTGCCTGGCCAGCCTGGATGAGGGGATGATGGCTGTTTGCAGCTGATCACACCCCCTTCAGGGTAGGGGTCCCCACTGGGGTGCCTGGCCAGTCTGGGTAAGGGGCTAAGGGTGACTGAAGCTCCCAGCCTCTTTTTTTTTTCTTTTTTTTTTCCTGGGATTTATTTACCTTCTATGGCTGTCACTGGAGCTGAGGCCCGGCTCCAGCTCTGAGGCTGTGGCTGGCTGAAAGCAGGTTTCTGGGTTTGTTTAGCTTCTATAATTGCAACATTGTTGCATCCAGAGCTCAGAGCTGGGCTGTGGCAGGCGGGGAACCTAGGCTTCCTCCATCACTGGAGCAAGCAAGCCTCATGTTCGCTTCAGCTGCGTGGCTGCTGGCCGCCATCTTTGTTGGCAGTTAATTTGCATATCTTGCTGATTAGCCAATGGGAAGGGTAGCAAAGTTACGGTTAATTACCATGTTTGTCTATTATTAGATAGGATATAATATAACCCTAATATGCAAATCAACCGAACGGTGGAATGACTGGTCACTATGATGCACACTGACCACCAGGGGGCAGACACTCAGAAGCTGCCCCCTGGTGGTCAGTGCGCTCCCACAGTGGGTGTGCTGCTTAGCTAGAAGTAGGGAGTGGGCTTAAGCCAGCAGGCGGACATACCCCGAGGGATCCCGGACTTCGAGAGGGCACAGGCCGGGCTGAGGGAACCTCCCCCCCCAACCCCCCCCCCCCATTGCACAAATGTCTCGCCCTGGGCCTCTAGTATAAATATAAAAGGCTAAGTGACCGAATGACCAGTTGACCGAACGACCAGTCGAACGGTTGCTATGACATTCACTGACCACCAGAAGGCTGCCCGTCGTGGTCAGTGCACTCCCACAGCAGGATCACCGCTCAGCTGACCAACCCATCCCGGTGGCCCACCAGCCCCGTGGCAGCCACTCCCTCCCTCAGTGTCCTGCAGGTTGAATCTCCAGAGAATGGGCCAGGCACTGATGGACCGGCGCTGCCAGCACGATCCCGACAGTGCTGCCGCCCTCCTGGAAGTCGGCCTTGGGCACCATGGCCACTTCCCCTTCCTAAAAGCTCCGTGAAAAGAAACATTATAAGAGTGGCTGCCAGGTGGCTCCCTACAACCGGTGTGAACGTCAGCGGGATGGATCCAGATCCTGGGCCTGCAAGGGCATCCCACGGCCCATCCAGAGGGCCAATCACATCCTGACCCCCCCCACCACCCTTCTCTGGATGGGCACCAGATGCAGGGCTCAGGGCTGGTGAGCGCTGCTGCGATCCTCTCCCGATCGGGACTGACTGGGCACCAGCCTGTGGCAGGTGCAGTGGGGCCAGGATGAGTGGGGGCAACAGGCAGGAGCAGCAGACGGCGTTGGGCTACTGGTTTCAGCCCAATCCCCGCAGGCCACCCCGAGGGACAGCACCCAGGCACGAATTCGTGCACCAGGCCTCTAGCATCTTTATAATTATTGTTTCCTTGATGGATTTAATCATTATTATAAAAAGTTCCTCTTGCCTCTGGTAATGATCTTCTCTTAGAGCACATTTTGTTTGTTATTAGTATAGCCACCAAATCAAAAGTGTGCCTCTTGTGCACAGCATATAGTTGGATAATTTTAAAGATTTTTTTCTGACAATTGCTAATTGGAGTGTTTAATTAATTTTGCATTTAATGTCATAATTGATAAGGTGGGGTTTAAATCTGCTTTGCTCTTTGTTTTCTAAATATCATATCTTTTTTGTTCTTCTGTTACTCCATTATTGCCTTCTTTTGTGTTTAATAGATGCTGTCTGGTTTACCATTTAATTCCTTTGTTATTTTTATTTTTTATTAATCCTCACCCAAGGATATTTTTTCTATTGATTTTTTTAAACAGAATTGTAAGGAGGGGAGAGACAGAGAGAGAAAAATCGATGTGAGAGAGACACATCAATTGGTTGCCTCCCACACACACCCCAATCCGCGAATCGAGCCTGCAATGGAAGTATGTGCCCTTGACTGGAATCGAACCCTCAAACCTGGGACCATTCAGTCCTCAGGCCAACTTTGTCTCCCCGCAACCCTCATTTGTGCGGTTAAAAAAAAGTCAAGTAGTTTTGAAGTCTGAGAGTGATGGCCTGGCCTTGGCCTAGAAGGAGAAAAGCTGCCTCTTAATGGAGCAAGAGCCACGGGCCTGGCAACCTGCTCTCAGTGGCGGTGGCCGCTGGCAGACGGCAAGGAGCAGGCACCTGCACGCGACTGAGCCTCCCAGCGGCCACGGGGGCTTGGAAAAGGGCTCTTGCCTCCGATGACATCAGCGTCCCCGCAAACACCGTGATTTCAGTCTTGAGACCCTGAGCCGCACAGGCCCAGACCTTGACACAGAGTGTGAGATGCGTGTGCTGCTCTACTTTGCTAACGGGGTGGTGCTCTGTTGTCACTGAGAGAAAGAAACGCAGGACTTGGCTGGGGAAGCGCATGTGTGCGTTCTTTCAAGGATCCTGTACGACGCATGACATTGCTCAGTTTCCTGCAGAATGAGTATTCCTTCTGGTTGATCTCTTATGAAGCTCCTTCCACTCCTCTCTCCCAGGGCTACATCCTAAAATCCCTTACTGCTGGGTTCCTTTGCTTAATGAGCCACATTCCTGGGGATTGTCCATTTAGGATGGTTCCAGCCCAGTGACCTTGAATAGCATTCACTTGGTCCATGGGAATCACACCTTGCCCTGCCTAATACACTCTGTTGTTGAATTTTTCTTCTTGTCCTGCCAACCGCAGCCAGACCTCCTTGCCTGCATATACTTTCAGGTGTGAGTCCGGCATGAACAGTTCCCCAAGGACCCTCCTTGAAGCCCATCTCATAGGACTGGTGTAAAACTGGTGGTTTTCTCACCCTTGAGGGGCAGAGTGAAGTCACAATCACCTGCTCCTCACTCTCTGATGACGCTCAGCAGCACACCCAGCTAGAGTGGCTCCAGGCCTGGGACTCCATCCTATTCCTTTCCCTCTGGATCTCCTGAACACTAAACCAGCGACTGTATTCGTGCTAAGTGTCGCTTACGTTGTATTACAACTTACTGTGCTTATCAGCACATTTTCCAAAGAAACCCTGTGCCCTGCCTTCTTTTGCTTTCTGTTACACCCTTAGGTCTGCGTAAGATTAAGTGCTTCTAATCACAATTTCTCTGCTATTCTTGCATTTGTGGTCCAGTACCTTAATTGGGTATATGGGAGTTAATGATGCCTAATGTTTTATCCACTACCTCTTGAGAATTCAGCCCAACCTGATCAATCCTGCTTTATAGGCATCTTCATTCCCTTCCAGTTATTGACAGGGGGCTTGGGAATGAAACCCAGAACCAAGAAGGGGTAACAGGGATTAGCATAATCAGATCATTGACACAATTTCAGCATTCAGGTACATTCCGTGCTGAATATTTTAAATTGATCTCTAACGTTGTCATTCACTGGCAAGAAGTGAAAAGGCCAAGTTGGGGCATAGACATTAACTGAGTTGGTGTGAGTTGTTTTATAGGAACCCCGTAAGCACTAGAATCAAGAAAGGACAATATGTTGGCCTACCAGGAGCTGGTGGGGGTACAATGCATTTATTGGATTCCATAGAAGTAGAACTCCATAGATGTTTTCCTGTTTTGTGAGAATTGGTGCATGTAGGCAGATACGCAGAATGTGACAGTGGTGTGAGCGTCCTCTCCTGGTCTGGCTACCACCTTGAGGAAAGGACCATCTCTCTGGGCCTCCATTTCTCCCAGTGTAAATGGAGATGGTAACATCCGCCTCATGCAGAGATCTTGAGTCATAGGAGGAAGAGCTTTCTCAGGTATTAGACACTCTACTAATACAAGGGACCTCTTGCCCTTTGAGATCTAGCATGTAAGGACCTGGAGAGTATTCTGCTGTGTGAAATAAGCCGCTCAGAGAAAGACAAGTAAAACGCGATCTCACTCATGTGTGGAATCTAAGGAACAAAATAAACTGATGAACAAAATAGATCCAGAGACACAGAAGCATGGAGCAGACTGACAAATCTCAAAGGGAAGGGGGGAGGTGGGGGTGAGATGAAAGTAACAAAGAACTTCTATTTGGAGATGCATAACCCATGGACATAGACAATAGGTGGTGAAGGCCTGTAGCAGGATGGGGTGCAGGGTGGACGAAGGTCAATGGGGGAAATGAGGACTTTCAACAGCAAAGATAAATTTAAAACAAAAGCGAAGAAACAAAACAAGGGGGGGAATGTGAAGGGCCCTGACCCTCACGCACTGCATGACTGTGTTCAGCCACATCACCTCCTTGACCTTCTCTGAGTAGCCAGGGCTGCCGCAGAGGCCGGGTGAGCGCTGGTCTGACTTACTCGATCCTCCGTCGGCAGCAGAAGAAGTTCAGCTTGCAACTTCCGACCACCTTCTCATCCTCAGTGCACATCTTCCTGCACTTGCCCCGCCCCAGCCTGCATGGCTCACAAGCAGCAAACTCACCTACACGGAGAAAGAGCTGCTCACGTCTCTTTCCCGGACCCTGGAGGTGGGGAAAAGGTCCAAGGCCACAAAAGGAGAGGGTTTGTATTTATGATGATAAAGGGTGTTTTCAAGAACCATTGGGGATTTTTCAAAGAGCTCTGCTTTTTTCAAAATGGAGTTGGAGAGAGTTCATTTTTAAGCCACAGGGAGGTGCTATCCTGGTCCCCCCTGTGCTTCTAACCTGCCTGGTCAAAAGGGAGCATCATCAACACATGCGTGTACAGGACTGTCCCTTGCACACCTGGCACTGCATGAAGGCTATGTGACGATGATGGGAGGGACACCATGGAGTGTTAAAAGGTTCTTGGTGGAGGAGTTAAAGACTTAGGTTCAGTTATAATTTGCGTCTTGGAATGGCCTTGTGTCCTCAGGAAACTGTTGAACCTCAGCCTTCTCAGTTGTCACGTGGACGTGCTACAAACACCAGTCAACGTCTACATTGTTTTAGTGGTGAAATGGAACAAGTTATGTGAGAATATTTTTCCAGCACTACTCACTCAATTAGCTCTTTTTGTTGGTACTTTAAGCAGAAGGTTTTGGGGGGTTTTTCTTACTAGTAATCTTCACCTGAGGATATTTTTTCCATTGATTCTTAGAGACAGTTGGAGGGAGGGTCGGAGAGAGAGAGAGACATTAACTGGTTGCCCGCCCCCGTGTCCCAACCAGGGCTGGAGATTGAACCTGCAGCCCAGGTATATGCCCTTGACCAGGAATCAAACCCGAGACCCTTTGGTCCATGGGCTGATGCCTAACCACTGAGCAAAACTGGTCAGGGCTAAGCAAAAGTTTCCCTACATGACCGCAAGAGTGTCCAAGCTAACCTCATGGCCCAGGTACGCAGTGTCTTTGCCACAAAAGGAACATTCCTGTGCTCCTCTAGTTCTCAGGGGCCAGCACTGATGATGTGACCTGCTCTTTGGGATTCGGGATTCTCTCCAGGAGCTCAGTCACTGCAAGCTAGAGGGTCCATTCTCCCGCCATCACCTGGGGACCCTCTCTGGGTGTTTGCATGCAGGGCTTATATCCAGTTGGTACCCAGAGGTGCCAGCACAACGATTCTGTATGACAGCATCTGCACTTCTCAGGCAGCAGACGGTCTGATTGCCCAACGCCCGTGCTGCGGTGCCACCCCTGCTTAAGAGTACTGGTGGGCACTGTTCTACCTGGTTGAGAATCACAGAATTAAAACTTGACTTTGATGTCCCCCGGCAAAGCCTAATTTAGCACTTACTATTTGTGACCCCACCCCACCCTCCGGGCAGAGTTACATAACATCCCATCTATGTCTCTGCTTCATTATATGTAAAACTAGTGGCCTGGTGCACGAAATTTGTGCACTGGGGAGGGAGGGGTTCCCTCAGCCCAGCCTGCACCCTCTCCAATTGAGGGGTTCCCTCAGCCCAGCCTGCACCCTCTCCACAGGGATTGGACCTAAACCAGGGGTTGGACATCACTCTTGCAATCTGGGACTGCTGGCTTCTAACTGCTCACCTGCCTGCCTGCCTGATCGCCCCTAACCTCCCTGCCTGCCTGCCTGATCACCTCTAGCTGCCTCTGCCTGCTTGCCCGATCTCACCCCAACTGCTCTCCCCTGCCAGCCTGATCTTGCCCCCAACTGCCTCTGCCTGCCTGATCACCCCAAACTGCCCTCCCCTGCTGGCCTGATCTCGCCCCTAACTGCTCTCCCCTGCCAGCTTGATTGCCCCTAACTGCCTCTGCCTCAGCCCCCACCACCATGGCTTTGTCTGGAAGGAAGTTGGATGTCCGGAAGATGGCCAGTTGACCCGGTCTAGTTAGCATATTACCCTTTTGTAAGTATAGATAGATTATATGGGGTAGGATTGCTAAAATGGGGGCGGGGGCTTTTCAGCAGGAGGAGATGCTCTTGGCAGACAAAAACACATAATCCCTATATCTGGACTGATAGCCAGCCATATGCACTATACTGCCAAACCGGTCATTTAAAAATTGAACCGCTTTCTTACACCTTACACCAAATAGCTGTTGCCCTTAAAACCCCTCCTCAGCCCCCACCTTAGGGTCTGCTTTCGTAGTTCATCCAGATTAGGTTCTGATTGGTCGGCTTCTATGCCAGTGAGTGTCTCTGGGCCTGATCAAAGAGGCGGGGCTGATCAACAGCTGCCACTAAGGCTGCAGATCAGACCCTGCCTCTCTCTCTGCAGGCCTCTCTCCGGGTCTAATCAGCAGGCCCCTTGGCAGTCAATGCCCCCAGCACTGGCTACAGTCAGTGCTGAGTCGCCATGGCAACCCAGCACTGACTTCTGGTGTTAGGTCAAGCCTTAGGTCCTTACGGAGCCTGGCTCTTTATATATATAGATGGTGGTTGTAATAGTACCTACCACCTAGGGGTGTCTCTATTTAATATGTTTTTATTGATTTTTAGAGAAAGAGGAAAGGAGAGGGAAAGAGAGATAGAAACACTGATGAAAGAGAAACATTGTCAATCAGCTGCCTCCTGCGCGGCCCCCCCCTTTTCTGTGGATCATCCCCCCTACTGAGCCTGCAGCCCAGGCATGTGCCCTGACTGGAAATCACACCGGTGACCTCTTGGTAGCTGGACTGGAGCTCAACTCCTGAGTTATGCCAGCCAGACCTAGGGATGTTTTGAAAATGAAATGAGATAATCCACAGAAAGTAGTTAATAGACTGCCCAGTGCACAGTAAGTACTCAATGACTAGTATCAGCCTTAATTTCCTCACTCTGAAATTCTGTCTAAACATTTTTAAATTCTGTTTGCAATTACCCCAGAACATTTATTTCTGTTCTGTGTATAATACGCTCTCTTCCTGTAAAGTACACACACACACACACACACACACACACACACACACATCAGTGGGCTATTTGTTAAGAGCTCTCTGTCATGGAGTGTTTGCTGAATGATCCTTTCTCCCTCTTAGGCCAGTGACATGCATTTGGGACACACTTTACTGGATTCAGGAAAGAGCCTGGAAGCGATGGATCAGCATGTTCCCAGAGCAGTGCTAATGGGCTGGTTCCAGCTCAATCCTCTGACCTTGGTTTAGGGATCACCATGAGTGTAGCCACCAGGTCCAAACCAACATTACAACCCAGTAACACAGATTTCTCGTGAAATAAAAAATCCAAATACGGTGCTGGGACCAAGAGGAAGAAAGAGAAGAGTGAGTGGGAGTTCGGGCAATTCTATTTTTACTGCTCTCTCCTTCACCTCCTGTGTCCAGGAATCAGAGATAGCGGACAGGCCAGTGTTCCTCAAAGTGAAACTACACACAAAGGGTTTAACTCACCTCCAGGGAATGGCTGGGAATACTCAAGTCCTGCCCGGGACCCTAAATTCAAAGCAAAGCACATTTTGAAAATTAAAATCAATGCAGGGAACAGGGCTGTAGGAAACAGTACTCCAACCCCACAGATCTCCTGTTAGGGGCAGCAGGACACAGGGATGCAGATTTATTTTATTTCTGAAGCCTAGCCCTCCTGGTAACCAGGAAGAAGTTAAAAGAAGAAGAAGAAGAAGAAGAAGAAGAAGAAGAAGAAGAAGAAGAAGAAGAAGAAGAAGAAGAAGAAGAAGAAGGAGGAGGAGGAGGAGAAGAAAATAGCTGTTCCCTCTTAGACAATTCCACAGAAAGTTCAAGAAATTCCTGTGAGACGCACAGTGGGGAGCTGACCATTACTCCCAGTTTTAGGGTGGTGCATAGGAGAGTCATCCCATTTTATGCTCTGCCCCATTGAAATCCCAGCCATTCTCCTTTACCTGATGGACATTGAGCCAAAATGAAGAAAAAGACAAAGACAAAATACAGCATCTTCCTGCTTGGGGCCATTGCTGGCAGAAGACGTGTCTCCACAGCTTTGAGGGGACAGGAGGCCCACTTATATTCGAGAACCATGTGCCCTGCTCTTGGGCAGTGAAGCGAATCAACAAAGAGAGCACAGGGACATGCTCCATTTCCCCGGTTCAAGAGCAGACAGGATGGGGGACAGCCCTCAGCCTCCATCAAGCACTCTGCTCTGTGGAAAGGGCAGCAGGCGGGCGTTGAAGCCCAGAGCCTCACACAGCCATGCCCAGGACGGGGAGTCATTCCTCCTCCATCAAACGGGAACCGGCTGCATCACGGAGAGAGAACAGGGGTCTCCCATGGCCTCTCCAGGTGCTGGAGGCTCTGTGGTGATGTTCGGACCGGGATGCTCACAGGAGGCCTGGTCCGAGCTCAGCAGGGTGGGCCAGCACTGTCCTGGCTCCCATGGGATTGTCTGTAAATGACCCAGGAGGAAGGGGGGAAGGCAGTCAGCACCCAATCCCTGAGCCTGTAACAATGTCACCCAGCAGGTCCGAGTCATGGTTACCACGTCCTGGGAATCATGAAGGAGGTGGGAGTCAGAAGTTGTCTTCATGTCACTGCAGCCAAGTCAGCCCACCCTGTTGTCTCTGCCCAAGCGATGCTCTGTCCTTCGTTTCTGGAACAGACAACAGGACCACCCGCCAATGCAGACTCTGATGACAGAATTTTTAAGGAGATGACCTTGAACAGGTCGCTTAATTTTTTTGAACTTCACATTCCTTATCCTTAAAATGAGGATGTAGTCATGGTAGGTCCTCGCAGGACACTGGAGAGAATGACCTGAAACAAGGGATGGAAGGTCTTACTGAGTGCCTGGCTGTGGTGACTGGTACGACCTCCACTCTTCACTCTAGCCAGCTGGGAGCCAGCCTCTCTGGGAGCACTTTTTCAGGGCCATCGTTCATGAGGGACTGTCCCGGCCAGAGAACGCGCCAGCGCTGATGGCTGTGTGCTTGTCCCCAGGCCTCGCTACGTCACCTTCAGGAAGACACACTCGTGTGTGGGGACAGGGCTAGAGGGGAGCCTACTGCCTTGCAGTGTTTGGGCATTTTACTAACCGGGCCAGGCCACACTGCCTCCAGGAGAGTTACGGGGCTATTGTGAGCGCTCAGACACCTCCAATGCTTCTGCCCCCAACCCCCAATTCTAATGTGGAAACCCTAACTCCCAAGCCGATGGTGTTAGGAGGTGGGGCCTTTGGGAGGCGATTGGGTGCTAATTCCTCATGAATGGGATGCGAGCGATGCCTTCTTACAAGGGACTCCAGAGAGACCCTGCCCCTTCCAGGGGGAAGACATGGAGAAGTGCCCTGGCAGAGGGTCCTCACCAAAGCCCACCACTGACTCCCTGGTCCTGCCCTCTGGCCTCCAGAACAGGAGACATGAATGTTCGGTGTTTACAGACCACACCCAGAATGTGGTATTTGGCCACAGCAGCCGAAACGGACCGGCACTGTGCGTCCAGGTTGGGAAGAGAAGCTGGGGAGTTAACACGAAGCAGCGGGTCCCCTGCCGGGTGGGCCCTCCCTCGCTCCAGGCAGTCCCACAAGGACCCCACCTTCCCCCCTTCACCTGCTGACAAAGACTCGCCTCAGAAAGGCCCAAACAACGAGATCGTGAGGTAACCAATGAGGTGACTGAAACCATTTGTCACAGAGACTATCTGGAAGTTTGTCTTTTCTTGTAGACTTAAATTTTTTTAAGTGATGTTTGGAAGAGAATAGAGAAAATTTGCATTTTCAATCATTCTTAACTGGATTATTCATAATTTATAATGAATATGCACAAAAAAACCCTAAAAATGTCATAGTGACCAAGGCTGAGGATAGATGGGACATTCCCTAATAGTCTTTTTAAGGAGGAATCTTCAGTTACTGAAAAATTTCAAAGACAGTACCGTATCCTCCCCCACCCACCCCTAATGTATCTACATTAGTAATTACTAATGTTAATAACCATGGCACCTGTTCTTAAATAAGATTTAGAAGACTATTTATATATATATATTTAACGATGAAAGTACTACACACACACACACACACACACACACACACACAAAAACACACATATGAAATGTCAATCAAGAACCCCGTAAGCTCACAACTATCCAGGGAGTTGTTTAAGAATTTACTCTGATGCATGTGGCACTTAAAGTGTGTGGCATACAGGAAGAGTCAAATTTTTTTAATTGATTTCAGAGAGGAAGGAAGAGGGAGAGAGAGAGAGAAACATCAATGATGACAGAATCATTGGTCAGCTGCCTCCTGCATGGCCCACACTGGGGATCGAGCCCACAACCCAAGCATGTGTCCTGACCAGGAATCAAACCGTGACCTCCTGGTCATAGGTCAACGCTCAACCACTGAGCCACCCAGCCAGGCAAGAAGAGTCACATCTACATTAATAAAAGAGAAATATGTAAATTGACCATCTCTTCACAACACCCACCAGCCAATCAGGAGTGAGTATGCAAAGTAGCAGGACAAAGATGGCAGTGGCCATGGAGCCAGCCTGAGCAGGTGGGAGGCTTGGGTCACCCCTGGCGATGGATGAAGCCAAGCTTCTTGCCCTACTGGGCCGGCCGCCGAAGGAGGGGCCTGTGGGCGGCCACCAAGGAGCCAGCCCAAGTGCACGGGAGGCTTGGGTCCACTGGGCCGGCCGCCGAGGAAAGGGCCTGCAAACGGCCCTCAGCCCCTCTTTCAGGCTGGCCTGGCCACCATCGAGGTGTGGGTCCCTGCTGGGGGGCGTGGCCAGCCTGCAAACAGCCATCAACCCCTCACCCAGGCTGGCCACAACCCCCAGCGGGGACCCTTACCCCATGGGAGCATGGCTGGCCTGCAAACCACCACAGGCCCCTTGCCCAGGCTGCCCCACCCCCCAAGGGAACCCCCCATCCTGATCTGGGACACCCTTCAGGGCTAACCAGCTGGCCCCCACCCATGCACCAGGCCTCTCTATACTAATAAAAAAGTAATATGCTAATTAGACTGGGAGACCTTCCAGGAGACCTTCCGGATGTTCTTCTGGACAAAGCCATGGTGGCAGGGCTGAGGTAGAGGTGGTTAGGGGCCAAGAGGGGAGGGCAGTTGGGGGTGAGCAGGCCAGCAAGGGGGCAGTTGGGGGTGAGCAGGCCAGCAGGCAGAGTGCTTAGGGGCAATCAGGCAGGCAGGCAGGTGAGCGGTTAGGAGCCAGCAGTCCCGTATTGCAAGAGGGATGTCTGACTGCCAGCAGTTGGACATCCCTTGAGGGGTCCCAGATTGGAGAGGGTGCGGGCCAGGCTGAGGAACGCCCCCCCCCCACATGAATTTTGTGCACTAGGCCACGCCACTAGTTTTAAAATAAATGGTGAACCCAGGGGTTGAGCACCAACCAATGAATCATGAGGCCACGATTCAATGCCTGGGTTTTGGACTCAATCCCCAGTGTGGGGTGTGCAGGAGGCAGCCGATCAATGATTTGCTTCATTGATGTTTCTATCTCTCTCCCTCTCCCTTCCTCTCTGAAATTAATAAAAAAAAATGTATTTAAAAGATAAATGGTGATGGGTGTGCCTCATGAAGCTATGTGCCGAGTGTGTGCGGCTCATAGATACTGGAGCGGGAACCCAGTCTCTCCTGGGCTTGGCACCAGCTCTGCCCGACACATTGGGACATCGCCCAGGTCCTGTCGGTGTACAGGGGAGTAGACCGAGGCTGTCATGGAGCGTCGGCACCGTTAGAAATGCCAGCCGCCAGACCCTGCTGACACATGTCTGTGCTGGGTCCTCAGTGCACACCTGCTCTGCCCTCCAGACATCCCAAGTTCTTCTTGGGAACTTTCCAGAGTAAAACCAACACCCGGGCCCTGACCGGTTTGGCTCAGTGGCTAGAGTGTCGGTCTGCAGACTGAAGGGTCCCGGGTTCGATTCCGGTCAGGGGCATGTACCTTGGTTGCGGGCACATCCCCAGTAGGAGGTGTGCAGGAGGCAGCTGATCGATGTTTCTCTCTCATCGATGTTTCTGGCTCTCTATTCCTCTCCCTTCCTCTCTGTAAATAATCAATAAAATATATTTTTTAAAAAAAAACACACAAAAAAACACCCGGAGCCGCAGGCTGACACCCACCGAGGTACGTGGGCTCAGTGCAGCCGAGCACAGAGACAGTTCTGCATGCCTCAGCGATCAAGATCGGGCTTGGTCTGGGAAAACACATAAATGGGGGTATTTGCTTCATTTTTCATGGACGCCGAGCTGGTCTCTCCAGACCCCGGAAGTCATGAAGACAATCCTCTTGCTCCTCGCTGTTTTCCTCCTTCTGGCCCCAGGTAACATGAGCCCCTTTGCAAGATGGGCATCAGAGGGGGTGGACCGGAGACAGGGCCTGCCTCGGGGAGGACGTGGCCAAGGTCAACTCCCTGAAACAAGGGCGCCCTGGGCCCCATGGCCCTGCGGGGACCACTGGCTCCAGGAGGTGACAGTCCCCTAGTGCTTCTTTTACAAACACCTCCCCTTTTCCATTACTATCTGGGACAGAGTGTCACAGGTTTGCAGAAACACAGATAAGCCAGCAAAGGTACCCCTGGACCCCTAGTCTCATGCTCACTGGCCAAAAGAAAAATTTGCAAAAAGAAAGAAAAGCAAGGGTAACCATCTATGGGTCTTTTAAAACATAGTTGGATAGAGAGGAAGATGGGTAAGAAAGGAAGAGCTGGAAATCAAAAGAAATGGAGCTTAGAGGCGCTATTCGTGCCAGTTGGTGAGAGTCAAACCAGCTGCAATGCCTGAAACACAAGCTATGCAGCTGGAGAGTGTGACAACAACTCCACATGCTGACATGCATTTAGCTCTGCAATGCCGGTGCCTTCTGGGAACTCTGCCCTGCCCTAACTCAGGGACATTCCGAGCATCTCTTTTCGTTGGGAAGGACCATTTGACATCTCTTTTGAGAGTGCAGACAGGGAGGTTCAGGGGGGCTAAGCAGGTGCTGAGCCCTGCAGGAGCACAGGGG